TATCAAGGTTACACATCACAAGCAAGTAGGGTTTATTCCAGGTATGCAGGGATGGATCAACACACACAAATCAATAAATGTAAAACCACACATAAACAGAAGCAAGGACAAAAACCACATGATCATTTCAATAGATGGAGAAAAAGCATTGGCCAAAATCCAACATCAATTCATGACAATTAAAAAAAAAAAACCTGAACAAAATAGGAATAGAGGGTTTTATCTCAATCTGATAAAAGCCATCTATGACAAACCAACAGCCAACATCATACTAAAGAGATAAAAGCTAAAGCTGAAAGCTTTCACTGCAAAATCAGGAAGACAAGGATGCCCAATCTCATCACTCCTGTTTAATATACTTCTTGAAACACTGGCCAAAGCAATTAGACAAGAGAAAGAAAAGGAATGTGGATAGGAAAGGAAGAAGTTACATTATCATTATTTGCTGGTGACTTGATCCTCTACATAGAAGACCCCAAAAACACCACCCAAAGACTCCTAGAGATCCTCCTGGTGATTTGGTAGTTAGGATTCGGTGCTCTGGCTGAAAGACTCCTAGAATTAATAACCAGCTACAGTGGCATAGCAGGACATAAAGTCAACACTCAAAAGTCAGTAGCATTTTGTACACCAGTACCAAACTCACCAAGAGAGAAATTAGAGAAACAACACTGTCCTAGTTACTTTTCTCATTGCTAAGACAAAATATCTGACATCTAAAGTTAAAGGAAAAAAGTTTATTTGGCTCACAGTCTGTAAAGGTTTCAGTCCACAATTGGCTGCCTAAAAGGCAGGGTGGCATGGCAGAGGGGCATCATAGAAGAGAAACAGTTTATGTCAGGCAGAAGCCAGCAAAAGCAGCAAACAAGTAACAAGCAGTGACCCTCTTTCAGTCCCTTGTATTCTACTCAGGCTACATGCTCTTAGGTGGGTAACACTCACACCCAGGATTGGCCTTCCCATTATCCACACTCAGAACTATGACAAATCAGTCAGTGGACTAACTTAATCACATATGTAATGCCAGTGTTACACACTCTAGATCCAGCCACCTCTGAAAAGCTCTACCTATGAACACATGAGGCTTTGGGGGGACAACTAGATACAAGCCATAATAAACACCTTGCAAAATGGCATCCAGAAAAATAAAACACTTAGGAATAAACCTAACCAACAAAGCAAAGGACTTCTACAATAAAAACTATAGTACTCTGAAGAGATTAAAGAGGATATCAGAAAATGGAAACACATCCCCTGTTCCTAGATAGGCAGAACCAATATAGTGAAAAGGTCATTTTGGAAATATTATACAGATATAATGCAAACTTTTACAGATTTAATGCAATCCCAATCAAAATATCAAGAGCATTCTTCACAGAACTAGATAAAATATTCTTAAAATTCATATGGAACCAGAAGACAAAGAATAGCAAAAATAATTCTGGGCAATAAAAGCAAAGCAGGGATCATCACAATCCTAGGCTTCAAGTTATATTACAAAGTTAGAGTGATTTTTTTTTAAAGCATGGTGTTGACAAAAATACAGGCTTGTGGATCAATAGAACAGAATAGAGGACACAGAAACAATTCCAGCACCCTCATTAATCTTATCTTTGACAAAGAGACCAAACACCTTCACTGGGAGAAAGATAGCTGCTTTAACAAATAGGCATGTTGGTATATGCCTGTAATCCTAGCACTCTGAAGACTAAGGCAGGAGAATCACTGTGAGTTCAAGGCTAATGTGAGCTGCATAGTAAGTTCAAGGACAGCCTGGGCTGAATAGCAAGACCCTGTCTCAAAAAACCAAAAGGGGTTCGGGGAATTAGCTCAGTGGTGCTGCTGCCTGCCTCATAAGCACAAGGTCCTGAATTCAATCCCCAGTACCAAAAAAAAAAGGGATGGTTCTAGGAAAACTAGACCCATATCTGGGCCAGATTGAACCTGGACCTATATCTCTCACCATGCACTAAACTAAAATAAAAATGGATCAAAGATCTAAATATTAAAACAGAAGCCAGGTGTGGTGGCGCATGCCTGTAATCCCAGCACTTGGGAGGCTGAGGCAGGAGGATCGCTGTGAGTTCAAGACAAGCCTGGGCTACATAGTGAGTTCCAGAGCAGTCTCAATTACATAGTGAGACCCTGTCTCAAAAAACAAACAAACAAACAAAAAAAAAAAACCCATAAATATTAAAACAGAAACATTTAATCTGCTGGAAGACAGAATAGGTAAAACTCTTAAATACCTAGGTATAGACAAAGGCTTTTCTGTACAAAGCCCTGGTTATTACAAAGAATGAACATTTGGCATCACATCAAAGTAGAAACCTTCTGCATAGCAAAGGAGACCACTAACAGAGTGAAGAGATAACCCGAATTTAAAGCCGATCCAAAAATGGGCATCTGAAGTGAATGAGCACTTCTCAGATGATGAAACAAATGAACAATAAACATATATTTACTTTGCTAGCAAAGGATCGGTCTGAACCAAGAGCTGTGCCAAGTGACAATCCGCCTTTTATAGGAGTTTTACAATCATGACCTCATTTTAGGTGATAAGACATTCTAGTTCCCATCACAAAACATGGTCACAAGACAGTGCAATGTTAACCCAAATGTAGCAATCTCTTTCAGGATGTTTATCTTTACCTGTTCCAGCCCACAAGGGTGGGCCCCAGAGTTAGGAAAGCAGGACTGGTGACATCCCTTTCATCTTATCACCTTTATAGCCATATAGTTTACAGAAAGTTTTATAGCTCAGGGACTGTTATCTTAGCTTGAACATTTGGCCTCATCCTAAGGTGTGGCTTAGCACCTCAGGCATCTGTTAATTTTAAACTGGAGCTACATACCTTTAAGCTTCAATGGTGAAATCTCAGGTGTTTTTGCTAAACAAGCAAAGCAAATTACAGAAGCAAAAGGCAGCAGTTATTTCATTTTTAAAAAAATATTTTGTAGGTTTCAGACTATTTACAGAAGTTTTCTCTATCACAAGGACACAAAGGAACCTTTCCTACAGAATCCTACAACCCACTTTCAGGTCACCCTTCTTTCTTAGACAGAAGCTTTCTTTCCCTCAATCAATTTTTCTTAGGGGGCGCCCACACTAACTTGGAAGGTGATCCTTACTTCCCCTCTAAGCAGAGACAAATTAGACAAAGATGGAGAAAATGTGATGAAAGGTCTCTAGACTTCCTGAACAAGCAGAAATGCCTGGACACCTTGGTGTCTCTTTGACATGCCAAATGGTTTTAGGCAAGGGCAAGTGAACTAAAATCATATATAACTGTACTACTCATTGTGCAACAGGGTCCCCATGTGAGCACCATTACAAGCATGGCCACTAGAGCCTATATGTGAAAAGTCTGCAGGTAAATGTATTAGACCTTTGGGCACTGGCACAGCCTTGAGACAAGTAATGGCATTTTTGACAGCTAGAATACTACTTAGGTGGGGGGGGGGTCCCCAGTCTTCATGATCTTTGTGCACGATACCCAACAGATGCTCTGAGCTATATGACTATCCAGCAAAAAAGAGACATTACCCACGGTGCAGACCACAGCCTTTGGCCAGATTTATAAAGTGCTAGAGATGGGCCCTGTTCCATTTCGTAAGCCCTTTCAGAAGTATTTCTGATCAAGTATTGATAAAAAAGGTGGTGGGGTCTTCAGCTCTAAAGAGGCCATTTGAAGATGAATTAGTAGATGATACAGATCAAAGTAAAATGAAGCAAAACTCAGGGAAAATCCTGGACAGTGAAGCAACAGACCTCATGAATGCATAAATGAGGCTAAGCCAGTCAGGCCCGGCTTCTAAGCTCTTCTCGGTCTGGCCCTGTCCATACCGTCTTCACAACATCTGCACATGTTGATGGCACAACTTAAAAGTAGTGGGACCATCTAAGAAAACTGCAAAACTTCACGTAACGGTGAAGGTATCACAGGCAAAGGGATACACAACAGCTTTGCGGTGGACATTGAATGCATGGATTTTGATTTTAAAAAAAAAATCACACAATGAAAGCAAAGACGCAAGTGTCTTCAAACTCAAGCAATGATACTGGAAATTCTAAACTGGAACTCCAGTACCTTAGTATGAACTCAGGGCCTCACAGCAGGTGGCAAAATTCCTGAAATGGAGCTCAGTAAAGAGAAGGCCTGCCGGGCATGGTGGCGCACTCCTGTAATCCCAGCACTCAGGAGGCTGAGGCAGGAGGATCGCTGAGTTCAAGACCAGCCTGGGCTACATAGTGAGTTCCAGGTCAGTTTCAACTACATAGTGAGACCCTGTCTCGGACGGACGGACGGAAGGAAGGAAGGAAGGAAGGAAAGAAGGCCTTAGGCATGAACTCATCTCAGAGACTGGTGGAAGCCTTGGCAAGCAGAGAAGTCCCAAATCTCCTTCCTATCAGCAAACTGGAGTCTTAGGAAAGCAGGTGGTGTAATCCCAGTTAAGGCCAGAAGGCCCAGGAACCACAAGTCCCAGGAAGACTCTGTAGGCTCAGGCACCAGAAGCACCAATGTCAGAGAACAATGTACCAGCTCATAGAGCAGATCTGCACTCTGCCAGCTTTTTGTTTACCTGGGCCCTCAGTGTATTATATGATGCCCGTCCAAGTTGGGGGGCAATCTTCTCTGCTTACTTTGCTGGTTCAAAATCTTATCTCTCTATAAATACCTAACACGCTCACCCACCAGTAATACTTTTCCAGCTATCTGGCTACCCTCTACCCTAGTCAAGCTAACATGTAATATATATTAATTATTCTTTTCCAAAACTTGGGACTAACTCAGAACACAACTGGTATGACTTGAGTCATTTCAAATTTACTGGAACTACATGGCTTGAGATCGATCCTATCTTGGCAAACAATCTCTGTGTACTTGATACAGAAAAACCATTTGCACATTTATATCCTTGAAACAAAAACTTGGAAATTTAGAAGAAAAAGGTATTGTTACATGGCTTTAAAAAATTAAATTTAATTAATTAAATTTGGACTTGAAGTGCAAGGTCCCAAGTTTGATCGCCAGTATGGGGGAAAAAAATTTTTTTTTGGACTTGAACCGCCTTTGAAAGGACTTCTGCAAGGCTGGGCCAAAGTTCAGGGGTCTGGGAAAGAGGAGAATCTTAACAAGTCTGTAGTAAGCTATTGCTAGAACAAAGGATGGGAGATCCTATTAAATGTTCCTACTTTTTGCTTGCTTTTCACAATGCTGTGGACAGCACCAGAGCCTTGTACGTGCAAGGCAAATGCTCTGCCATTGAGCTACACTCCCAGTCCACCAACAACCTTGCTCAGATCACAGAGCTCAGGTAAAATACAACATTGTCAGCAGGCGAGGAAACACTCAGCACAAGCACAAAAAATATGAAAACACAGGGCGTGTGTGGTACTGAGCATCTCAGGTACAACGTGTCTGAACACCTGGGTGCCAGCCATCAGGGTTCCAGGACATTCAAGTCCGCAGGGCTGCCTCACAGCCTCGAGTCTAGCTGTTCAGAGCCGTCTCCTGCTGCCATCTCCTGGGGTTGGCACCAACTGCTGATCAGACGAGGAATCTGTCCCCAGATGTCAGCTCAGAGAACAGGGATGAAACCCTAACAAGAAACCCTGTCTTCCCCCAGGTGGGCCTGTGACTGCATCCTAGAGCAATCACCTAGGCGTCCTGGTGCCAGGGCTGATGGTGTGGGGATGGAATGTTGCTGCTGAGCAGTAAGGCGGCAGGGACTCTGCCCTGGTTCTGGAGCCTTCTCAGAACAGCCAGTTTTCACCATGTGTGTGGCTACTTTTTACTGAGCAATCCTGCCTCCCTGTCTTTCCTGAAATACCTTTTCTTTCACAGAAGGAACCAAAGAGGAAAGCGCAAAGACACCTTAAAAGATAAAGGAACTATAAGAAGGACCCAGTCTCCCAGCAATACCTAAACTGTATCTTGCAGGGTAATAAGAGGCGGTCCTCTTACAGAAGATGAGCCACCAGGAGCTGGGTGCAGTAGCTTTCTGAGGTGATGGCTTTTACGCAACCCGGAGGGGCTATGTTGGGGACCAGCCTAGGGGGAACAGGAAAAGAAGGAAAGTAGAGGGCTGAAGTCCCAGGCTGAGCCCACCAGACCGAGCCTGTGAGCAGGGACTCGTGCTCACCGTGCCAGCTCCTCTCCCTCTGGACCACGCGTGTCTAAGCTCCCAAGGCTGTTCCCCAACACCGTTGTCTTGGGGTGCATCTCCCCAGCAGCTCCATCCTACTACAAAGCGGAGCCCTGATGGAGGTGGTCCGTTAGGTAGACACAGCCCTTACCTGTGACAGGTATACAAGCATTGTGGGGCCTAGGACATAGCTCAGTGGCACTGCACCTGCCTCAGAAGCACAAGGTCCTGAGTCCGATCCCCCACCCCAAAAAGAGTACCTGTGTACTATAAGGTGGTGAAATGCTTCATTTTCTGATTAAGTAGAACATCAAAACGAATACGCCTTAAATGGTACAAATTTTATACACAGGAATGACCTCCTCCCCAAAAAGCCTGAAAAGCCAAAAAGTAGTCTTGCTTTCTTCTTTGGAACCCTGGATCATCCACAAGGGCTGAGCCAAACCTCGGACGAGTCTTGTCCACCGCCGTGGAAACACTGCATTGACACCAGTGTGGGCGATGCCGCAGGGAAGTGCGGTGTGGAAAACCCTTCCCCAGCACTAGCGCCGGCGCAGCACCGAGGCTGCCAGCAGCGGCCCCACAGGCCACAGCATCACTTCCTGAAGCGCTTGAACAGCGGGTGCACGTGCTTGGTGGAGGGCTTGCTCCGTGACGAGTGGTACTCCACGTACACGGTGTCATCCGCCCCAGACATGGAGCTCATGGTGCCGAGGCGCCGGGAGGCCTGCGGGGGGGGATAAAATATGTAACAGAATTCAATGCACTTTATTATTTTTAAGCAACATCTAATACTGCGTCTCAGGCATCGTTCTAAACATTTCGGATGTATTACTTCATCTAATCCTCACAACCATTATAATTCTCATCCTATACAAGAGCAAACCAAAGTACGGAGAGATTTTAAAAAATTAACCTAGTTCAAAAGGAAACTGCACACAGGCAGTCTGGCTTGAAACTTCGAGTTCTTTTTTTGTTTTGTTTTTTTGAGACAAGGTCTTGCTATGTAGTTCAGGCTGGCCTGAAGTTCACTATGTGCCCAGGCTGGCCTCGAACTCATGGCAATCCTCCTGCCTCAGCTTCTTGAGTGCTGGGGTTACAAGTTTGCACCACCATGCCCAGCACCGAGTCTTGGAGTTCTATAGTACCTTTTTTAGTGATGATTTCTGAATAGTTTTTTAAACAGCATAAGGCCCTTAAAATCTCCTGACATACCACATAATGTACTTTGAACCAAGGGGAAAGCCAGAAAGCCCCAGGCTTAAGCTGGGCAAGGTAGCGTGCAAATGTAGTCCCAGTTACTCAGAAGCTGGAGGTGCGACGATCCCTTCAGCCCAGAAGTTCGGGGCCAGCCAGGGCAACGTAATGAGACCCGACTCAAAACACAAAACAGCAAGCCCTGGGCCTGAGTCCTGGCTCCACTTCTTACTGATAAAAAACCCTGGACAAAACTACATGTCTGCCTCAACGAGCTCATCTGTAAAATGGGGATGACTACATCTGCGCTGACAGATGGCGAGTGAAGAGAAATCAGAGGTCAGACAGGGAAATGTGCAGGCCACACTCATGTGCCACGCCTGCCACCCCCCACCCCCCGTGGGACGGGACCTACCCACTGGCACCTTAGGGCCAGTGAGAGCAGGGAGCTTCCTGGGCTTCAGGGCGAATCACTTCCCGCTGGTGGGAGAAGGGCTGCGCCCCTCAGGTGACAGCCACTCCCTCCAGATCTTGGTCACACGTCGGCTTTGCTACCAACTACGTTCAGAAGCACATGGCTGACCTCTCTGAAGGACCCGGGAGAATTCTCCGTAACCGCGCTCTTGTGGTACACTATACCCCACTTGCCTCTCCCACAGCAGGCGCTCGGGTAAGTATAAATGAAAAGTTAAGTATTTCTAGAGATACGTAGTTCTCTAGAAGGGACTGTGTTGAGCCTCAGACTCGTCTTATGGGCTGGAAGGCTCAGCCTCACCCTGAGGAGGGAAGCAGAGGCGAGCCTGGCTTGCCCACGGCCTTGCCTCCCTGTCCCACACAGCCACACCCAGCAGCCTGCTGGAGAGAAGCTACAAGCACGCACTTGCCACGCTGGGTTTCAACACCGGGATTCTAACAAATTCATTCCAGACTGTGGTACAGACAAGCAGGGGACCAGTCGCCGTCACTGTGATCCGAGCTACGTCCAACCGCACATGCAAGGGGCACGCACTGAGGAGTTACCAAGGGTTGTTTCTATCATTCTCCTCACATGTTCCCGTTTTCCGAAAACGCCCAGAGCTCCCTCATGCACGCAGGACTACATACGAAGTGTGTCTGTCTCAGAGGGTGACCTTCAGAGCACGGACACCTGCAGCCCCACCCGCTCGCTCACCTGGCTGGATCTGGAGCCAAATTCTCCTGCCACCACCTCCTCCTCTGCATCCAAGTCAGTGGCCGCCAGAACTTTCTGCAGGAGCTGATGCTGCTCCTCTTTGGTGGAAAACGCCAACTCTTCTTCCTCCATGCCAGCAAGCTTTGTGATCACCTGCAGACCCAACATCAGTGCGTGTCTCTCTGCCCGCTCCCCTCGGTCCTGCTCCACCTCCTCTGGGGCTGTTCGCTCTGCTCACGCCCTTCCCAGCCTGCCGGGTGGTGAGCTCCTCTCGGCATTGCAGGGATCAGCTCCAAGAGCTGCCTTCCGTGGAGCTTGACTAGTGACAGATCAGGGAACATGGAGAGGACTACTCCCTGCACACAGCATCCAAGTCCCGTTCAGAAGGCCGCCAGGAACCTCAGGGACTGTCAAGTACTCTGGGCGAGGGCAGGGAGACAGGGCAAGGGACAGTGAGTAACGGCGAGCCATCAAGAATTTATCAGCCGGATTTTCTCTACAAGAGCACGGAGAAGGCTGGGTTTTCCTGTCTATTCGGGATTACTTACCATAAAACCTGCCTACCCTTGCAGAAAGCCATCTCGCCTCAATTCTCATGATGTTAATTAAAAGAAATTTAATGCTAGAGGTATGGATTTGACTGAGTCCTTCGTGTGGTCAGACACTTGGAGTTCAGACTAACAGGACATGTCTGCCTGGCTCAACCACTCCCCACTCTACGGACTTGCTGGCTTCCCCGAGCAAAGGCAGCTCAGCTGACGACACATGTACCTCTCTCTGGCTGACCTCCTGAAGAGCTCAGAGTGCTACGCTGTGGTTTCTATGACCCTGCAGTGCTGCCATCGGGACAGACTCATGCAGATGAGTAACAAGTCACAACGCAAACCCTCTGAAAACAACAGGCTCAAAATCCAAGCACCTTGTCCTCCGGCCCAGCCTGAGAGGTCTGAAAAGTGTCACTGCCTCTGACTAAACAACAGAGCCAGATGACCCTGTCCTCTGTCTTGGGCTAATCATGGAAACACTCACCAGTTCCTAAAGAGACGTATCTGAGGGTGCAGGTAAGGCTCACAGTAGTGTGGAAGAGGCCAGCACACACACACAGAGCATCTGGAAAGGTGGCCTTTGGCAAGTTGGGAGCCCGGGACCTGACGTTCTAGCAACATCCTGTCAGTGGACCAGAGGGGAACTCTCTTCCCCACAAATGAAGTCCTCCGGGACACTAATTCCTGACATGTCAGCAGGAAAGAAAGCAAATGCCCCACAAAGATCGTGGGAGAGGAAGGGGAAGTAAACAGAATTAAGATGTGTCACGTACGTGGACCACTCCCCATGAGGAATGTAGGCATTAGGAACTGCAAACATGCACTAACAAAAATTTTCAAAAGAAAGTAAATGCCTTAGTCAATGAACACTGGCCAAAGCTTTCAAGCTATTTACAGCCTTGGTTTGCAGTACGGGACAGCACCCTAAGGCTCACTGAGTGGTAGGCCCCACGGACTCAGATCACAGCACTGGCCACAGGCCTTAGCCCCGCAATCCTGCCGGACTAGCACAATTGTCACCAATAACTAGTGCTGTCCCCAGCAAGTCATGCAGAGACAAAGGAATCTGAGGCAAGGTCTGATTCCCTCTCATTCTACACCCCCAGGCTGGTGCCCCGCTCTCCTGCGGGTATAATACCAAAACGGCCAAGTGGAGACCTACCTTAAAGCTATAACCCTGATCCACCAAGAACCTCTGTCGCTTGGTCGAGTAAGCCATTTCCTGTGTGTCCTGGGACACCAGCGAGTAGAAGAAGGCATTGTACTCCTCTGCAACCATCCCTGTGGGAGAGGGCAGGGAAAAAGACAACATCAGCAAGTAGGTGCAGAAGCGGCATTAGAGTGGGAAAGCTCTGTCGGCAGGGCATGATCACCCTGACCTTTTCTTTGGTACCAGGGACTGAACTTGGACCCTTGCGCTTGCAAGGCAGGTGCCCGACACTGAGCCAAATCCCCAGCAAAAATAGTTTATTTTGGGGGGGTACCGGGGATCAAACTTGGGTCCTTGAGCTTGCAAGGCAGGCAGTTGAACCACTGAGCTAAATCTCCGACCACCTTGACTTTCAATAAAGCCTTTTATGCTTCTAAGAATACCAGCAAGGAAATGAAGAGACCATTCACAGAACCAGAAAATACAATCTGCAAAGCTCGCCTGACAAGGGACTGGTATTTAGAATATAACACAAACTACGGCGACTGAGTAAGACAAATAACCCAATGGGCAAAGGATCTGAAGAGATATTTTCTCCAAAGACAGTATGTAAATTGCCAGTGACCTCATCAGTACCATTAGGGTCACCAGGGAAATGCAAACCAAGACCACATTAGTGGCTCGCCTCCAGCAGATGGTAGAATAAGAAAAATATTAATAATCACTTCTCGTGTCAGCTTGCGAGAGAAACTGGAACTCTCATACCCAGTAGGTAAGAATGCAAAAGAGTGCAGCTGCTTTGGAATAGTCTGCCAGTGCCTCAAATGTCAAACCAGAGACATGACTACAAGGTCCAGAAATTCCACTCCTCGGTACACATCCACGAGAATGGAAAACACACAAAAATCTGTACATGAGTTTCATAGCAGCATGATTCCGAGAGCTAAAAAAGCAGAAACAACCCAAGTGTCCATCAACAGATGAATGGATAAATAAAATCCAGTATGTTCATAAAGTATATTATCTGGCAATAAATCTAAATGAAGTACAAATCCTCTCTGATGACGGTATTATAATGTATATCTAAAATGTACCAATAAATATTTTTCTTTAAAAAAAGGGCCAGATATCTTATTCAAGTAGAATTTTTGATTAAGAAAATACAATTCTAATTAAAGTCAAACAAGTTTTTAAATTAGCTTTGCTTCTTTTTCATATGGTAGAGAGTATGGGATAAGTAATAAATTACATATCTGCTAGAAGACTATATTCTGTGTCAATTTATGTTAGTCTATCCAGCAGCCTACTGTGCTCTATATTATATAAGCTCTTGTTTTTTTTGAGAAAGCGTCTCACCGTGTAGCTTAGGCTGGCCTTGAACTTGCTATATATCCCCAGCCTGGCCTCAAACTTATGGTGATCCTTGTGCCTCAGCCTCTCAAGTGCTGGGATCACAGGTGTGCACCACCGTGCCCAACTATAAGCTCAACCTTGGAAGAGTCCTACAGGTAAGACTGTCACCCGGCCCTCACTTGGGAAAACCAAAGCTCAGAAGGACAGGTAACTTGCTAAAGGTCGCACGTCTAGTCTGGGGCCCAATTCTATGCTATTTCGATTATCTGCCCTTTCTCCGTGTTAAATACAATCAATAAGCTGCCTCTCAAACGTATCTCAGTATCTGCTAATCTTGCCATTCTCAAACATCCTAGCAATGCAGATGCCTCCTAGTTCAGTAAGCAAATGTCTTGAGGACAGGGCCTGTGCCCTGGCCTTGGGAGACGCCTGGTCTCAGCAGGAGACAGGACCATCTCCTCATAGCATGTTAGTCACTGCCCTGCCCCTTGATGGGGAATAGGGTCGCTTTTACGGAAGGAACAAACACAGGAAGCCTTGACAGCCGAGCCTCGACCCCTCCATCCGGGATCACACCCGCCCCTGCCAGCTCCCCGCAGGCTGTGCAGTTCTGAGTGGTGTATCTGCATGGCCAGCTGCACGCCCGACCCTCCCTCTGCCCTGCCTGAAGGAAGACCCACAGCAGCTCTGAACATCAAGTCCACTTCCACTGTTACCCCTGGAAGCACTGCTCTTCCAGATGCCACCCTTGGTCCACCGACACACTGCCCAGCCCAGAGCACATAGGTGTCGACTCTGGGCCGCTGCCCAGAAAAAAACCCACACATTCATCCTCGTGGCCTTAGAAATAGCACAGCAGGGGCTCTTGGTCCTTGCTTTGGAACCTCATCCCCTCAGCCTCTCTCCAGCCCCAGACAGAGCTCCCTTTCCTGGACATCCCTGTGGCTCAGCTCGAGTGTGCTCCTGGCTAGTGTCTCAACAGGAAAGCCCACAAACCACCTGCCCACCTGCAGTAGCAGAGAGAAAGACTACCTTTTTTGGCTCTGAGCACCCGCCCTAGCCTCTGAGCTTCCTGTCGCCTGGAGCCACCGTGGGACGAGATCTGAATGAGGACATTTGCTTCAGGCAGATCAAACGATGTGTCACCTACCTGCAAGAAAAAAAAAATCAACCCCTAAAAAGTATATTTTTGCTTATTTATTTTTGCAGTGCTGGGGATGGACCCCAGGGCCTTGGCCTGCTAAGCACACACTACCACTGAGCTACCTTCCCGGGCCCGGGCCTAGGTAAGTTAGAGAGACATCCTCTCCACTCCAAGCTCCTTCTGCTCCAGCAGGGTTAGACAGTGATCCCAGATGGGCTTCCTTGCACCCAGAATGAACCTAAGAGCTTGAATCACACCACCGCTGTCCCGAAGCTGCAAGGCCGGCAGGGCTAGGAGGCAGGGGCAACAGACTCGCTTCCTGTCACTTGTGTGTGTGTGGCTACAGGAACGGGTCTGTACAAAGCCGTCCAAGCTCTTACCGACGACTGCTGAGACCAGCAGCAGCACATGCAGGTCAGTGTGATCTGGGCCACTACGCTATGTGGGGCCCTGAGGGCAGAATGCCCCCAGCTCGGAGGGTCCAGCCATGGAAGTTTCTAGCCAGCCCAGCCACAATCACCTCACAGGGAACCTGTCTTCTTCTGGGCTTTAGGGCTGCCTTCACCCGAACAACTTCCGAATACCAGGCCACAGCTCCGTGGCAGAGCACAGTCACTCCCCACCTAGCAGCCCAGAGGCAGCGCCCACAGAGCTCTGTCGGAGTCCCCATCTCCCGCCGCCCCGGTGTCACCCCCAGAACCTGGACACATGGGGATGAAAAGGCACGCAGTAAGCTCCCACTAAGGAACGCAGACTCTCAGAGTGTATCCCAGGCCCTCACCCCACACCCCCCATGTGCCACACAAACCTTGGATATGAAGATGGTATTGATTTTGGGGTTGTGCTTGAAATTTTGGAGAATCTGCATCCTTTCTCCCTGGGATGTCGGCCCATAGATGTAGGGTCTAGAGAAGAAGCACAGAAAGACCACGGAATCACCTCGGTTACCCCGAAAGCACATCCAACGGAAAAAGGAGTCCAAGCAAGGTCCTCTCTCATGCTGGACACCAGAAGTGACTACAGCACCCCAGCACCCCCGGCGCTGCGCCTGATTCTGGGCCTAGGCCCACCACGCTCTGTGATTCCTCCTTCCTTCTTCCTGCTTCCACACTTGCTGCTCTAGCAGAGTTTATACCAAACAGAATCCTCACTTTCATAAAGCCCAAGTAGACCCAGCAAACATTCTTGGGTCTAAACAAAAGGCTGCTTGCAACTAACTGTTCCCTAAGGACAGAGGCATCATCCCAGAAAAGAGGCTGAAGGCCCTCCCGAGCCCTAGGTTCAAACCCTTCGCTTCAGACTCCAGCTCCCTAGCTGGAGGGCATGAGCCCCTCTGATACCACACTGAATGAGGCCTCCTGGTACCTGGGGACACCGCAGCCTTGCTTTCTGTCTTGGAACACAATGGCTGGGCAGTTTGTGTAACTTCCTAAGGCCAGAACAATCATGCTGAAGATAATTATAAGCACAATAAGGACAGGTACTAGAAACCCAGGCCTACCTGTGCCAAGAACAGAGCTAGAAGGATACTACATTAAAAAAAAAAAAAAAATCCATCCTGGACCAGGGATTTAGCTCAGTGGCACCACGCCTGCCTCACAAGCACAAGGTCCCAAGTTCGATCCCCAGTACAAAAAAAAAAAAAAAAAAAATCCATCTTGCCAATTTTCCTCAAAA